CAATTCAGGCTGGTTTAATTAAGAGTAGAGAGATGCTTTTCTTGCATGAGGTCTGAAGCCTATCTTTGAAGTCTTTGAAGTACTTATACTTATACTTTGAAGTATAGTTAATGTAGCTAATAAATGCTATCTGTTCTGAAGTAAGATTTCTGTGGGCTTCTGAACTGTTCACTTCTATAGTCTATACTAGATTGACAGTTCATCACGTTCTAGCCTGCAGAATAACCGTTGTGTGCTTTATCTGGGATTTATAGTGGGCGCATTTTGTGGTGTATAAATTGTTAGAGAAAGGCAGATTTGGGGACATAATACTTACTCCTTACTTTCAGAAACATTCCTTTTTTCCTTAAAATTACAGCTTAAACTGTGATGACGATTCCCTTTTTTCTGAGATACTTTCATTTGCTTTCTAAGGCTGCTTGCATCTTGGTACTTTAGGGGACAAAATAAGATCCATTTTTCTGAGCTGATGTACACAGGTTAAAAATTAGGAATTCCTTGTTTTGAGTCGCAACTGCAGTGAACTAAATGAGATGGCCTTAGGCACACTGTTCTTCCTTTCTGTGCCCCACCCCTTGTTTATTTATTTATTTATTTATCAAGTTTGTCACCACCCATCTGGTTAGAAAATGACTCTGGGCAGTTTACAGGAAAGATAAATAATAATTAAACATACAATATAACAATTAATCCTAAATAAATAGTAAGTATCTTCCAAGATATCTGATGGTAGCTAGAAATTATTAGGCTCAGGATTATAGGATTGTTGAAAGGTTAATAATGAGATCACATGTATGAAGTACTTTGAATGCTTGAAAGTGTGGCAAAATGTAAAAAGTATTTTGTTCTGTTAGCTGAGCATAAGAATATATGAGAGTAATCCATATTGCTAACTTGCTATGAAATAGTAGTTGTAATTCTTTTTATTGTGTATATTTCAGCAAAAGTATTTAGAAGCAATCAGAGTATTTTCTGGCTCAATGAAAGGAATGGAAATAGGTAAGTGCTATATTTCAGATTGTATTTCAAATTCACAGTCGCTGGTGCTGGGCTGCATTGCATACTGGCTCTATGGCAGACTGATAGATCAAGACGAGAGAATTGCTCTACATTTTTGTTGCTGTTTTTCCTGGTTTTGTGCTGTGCTGCCGTCTTGTATGATCGCTGGCCACATCTTTTCTTTAACATGCATCTAGCAAAACCAGTTTAAAGCTTGAAGCGTACACATTTTAATCTGTATTTGATGTAATTAGATTTAGGTCACTTGAACAATTTTATCTAAAGCACTAGCTCAAACAACTTAGTATTCAGTATTCCATCTATGTCGTTACTAGTTGTGCAGCCTTTTTCTGGTCCAGAATATGAAGATGAAACGATGACAGTACATCAGGTCCCTCTGGTAGGTGAGTAAGGTATCCTGATTTTAAACAAGGGATTGGTAGAAGGCAGCAGGTTCTGTGCTTTAGAGATCTAAGCATCATAACAGTTCTGTCACTTCTGATTTTGAAAGAGTGGGATGGAGCAATAGAGGAAGCTGTGGTTGATTATGAGATACAGATAGCAGAGCCTGCTCTAGTAGAAAATTTTGCTGTGTACTACAGCTTTTTTCCACTGTCTCATAACTTTCTTTTTCTGATGGTTGGTGGTTTTTATACACTGGAGTACAGTATACACTAGAATCAATATTGATTGATTGATTGAATTTATATGGCTGCCCATCTCACTTGCATGTGCTCTGGGCGGCATACACAATTAAAACACAACTAACAATCACAACATTCAACCATTAAAGCCAATTTAAAAGTGGTTAAAAACTACAGATAAAAAACTAACAAAAAAACAAGGGACAGTGCAGTCTAAACTTATACACAGTGCAACCATTTAACGGGCTCCATGCTTCCATGAGATCACCAAGCCCAATGGCACATCCAAATTTTGAGGGCCTTCCAGAAGGCCAGCAGGGTTGTGGCCAATCTCACCTCGGGAGGAATGTTGCTCCAGAGGGTGGGTGCCTTGGGGCACTCTTTCTAGGTCCCCCAAATATAGCTCCTGGGCTGAAGATACCTGCAGCATGCTCCTTCTGCTGGACCTGATGGGATGGGTAGATGTAACTGGGGAGAGGTAGTCCCTCAAATAACCTGGCCCCATGCCGTGTAGGGCTTTAAAGGTCATAACTGGCACCTTGAATTGGACCCAGAAGCAAACTGGCAACCAATACAGCTTGTGAGCAAAGGTATAACATTTGCAGTTCTTGGAGCACACACAACTGCCTGTGCCACTGCATTTTGTACTGGGTGAAGGTTCTGGATATTCTTCAAGGGCAGCCCCACACAGAGTGTGTTACAGTAATCCATTTGGGAGGTGACTAGGGCATGAGTGACTGAGAGTAGGGCCTCTCGATCCAGGAATGGGCACAACTGGCACACAACACAAAGCTGTGCAAAGACCTTCCTGGCCATGACTGCCATCTGCTCTTCGAGCAGGAGTCAGGAGTTTAGATGGACCCGCAGACTGCGCACCAGATCTGTTTGGGGCAGTTCAACCCCATCCAGCACCAAAGATGGTAAGTCCCTGAATAATGAAGGTCCCAAAATCCAAAGCCACTCAGTCTTGCCAAGGTTCAGTTGAATATCAGGGTAATACCTTGTCAACTGAACTGAAAGTTTACAGATAACATATAAGCTATCATGTGTCGAAGTACTTTGTGTCAGATGGAGCTGCTGCACTACACTGTGATCACTTCCAGTTTTCTATAATGTTCACATATAAATGGGTGGTGGTTGGGGTAAATTAAAACTGTGATATTTTCAAATTATTGGTACATCTTTTGATGAATGCCGATAATGAGATTCGTTTATAATACTCTGCAGTATCTGATAAGAGAATTCTATGTAAAAATGCTCTTAATGGACTGAAAACAGTTAAGTTTGAGGTTTTCTTATTTCTAGCTTTAATAGTGGCCAGATTCATACATCACACAAAGCCATAAAGTGGTCTGTATATTTTTGGCTTATTTTTGGACATACTGTATAAGTAGAAGCAATTGTGGTCAAATCAGCAAACTGCATCTCACTGCAATGTGTGAATCTAGCCAGTGTCTGCAAAGCAAAGAGTTGTATATATTCTAATCTTATCTTTGCCCTCTTTCTCTTTCTCCCACTTGTCTGAAACACGCAAAAGCCAACTGTGAGCAAAGGATACATCCAGACTCTAAATCACTAATAGATGAGGATGATCAAAAACATACGTCAAGTCCAGGATCTCCTGACAGGAATAAACAGTCACCTGATAAAATAGGTGAGGAAGCTTCTTGTTAATGAAATGGGACCCACCAGGAAGTTCTCATGATGTGTGTGTGTGTGGATTTGCCAGGTAAACAGTTAGAATTTAGATTGCAGCATTAAGTTTAAAAACTCATCCATCCATAGTTCACAAGAAAGACCTACTACTGAAGCTGGATAATTTGGGAATGTATGCCCTAATAATGCCTTAACAATATTAACGTTTTATCTCATATTTTTATCTTAATATTTTTTGGTCTAGAATGTCCAAGTTGGTTTACACAAAATACTTATAATAGTATTGAGGGTGTCTGCTGCTCTGGCATATGTTATTGTTCTGGAATAAGACAATATTATCCTTCCTCCCACCCACCCCCCACCCACCCCAAGATTTGAAGACTTTTTTTTATTTAGGAGAGAGAGTCAGGAACCTTAGATTGCCCAGAGGAGAAATAAAATTGGTAGGTGTGTAGTATATTGTTGCCATGTCTGCTCAAATGTATAAGGTGTGTCTCTAGAGTGATAGCTTGGTGTGTTACCTTGTTAATTTTGGTAAAGAATGGACCTTTTAAATTTTATATACATTTTGATTTTGAAATACAGGCTTATCTGTCTGTTGTGGTTTTTTTTTTTTTTTAAGGCAGCAGGAGGCAAATACTTGAAAGGGACCCATCTCTTGTTGTTGCATATATTTGTAAGGTAAGAGCTTTTCTCCAAATTGAGGGTACCTCAGTCACTACTGGGGATCCTGTCACAATATACAGAAGGACATGGCCTGACTTCATGTCATTGCTGTAATAGCTCTGAGCTGGGGAACACTTGATGCGAAATATGATCCAGATGCTTTGCTTACTGGAATTCCTTCACTCAGCTTTTCTGGGTGAAAATGCTAAGATTCCAATCCTCCTAAGAATGCATGTTTAGGATTTTACTGCATCTGGGCTGCATGTGCTTGGATATTTCTCATGTAGATTATTGAAGTAATATTACCAGAGAATTGGTTAGAAGTGGTGGGAGTTAAAATGTGCACATTGCATATCTTTGCATTTATCCATTTTGAAGTGAAATTCAGTGTTCAGTGGGACTTCTCCCCAATATGTGCATTTAGAATTGTAGCCTTTGATGATCTTAGACTTGACTTCCTCTTGGGATGATTTATTATTTTTACAGTGGGGCAAAAAAGTATTTAGTCAGCCACCAATTGTGCAAGTTCTCCCACTTAAAAAGATGAGAGAGGCCTGTAATTTTCATCATAGGTATACCTCAACTATGAGAGACAAAATGGGGGAAAAAATCCAGAAAATCACATTGTCTGATTTTTAAAGAATTTATTTGCAAATCATGGTGGAAAAGAAGTATGGTGACCAAATACTTCTTTTCCACCATGATTTGCAAATAAATTCTTTAAAAATCAGACAATGTGATTTTCTGGATTTTTTCCCCCATTTTGTCTCTCATAGTTGAGGTATACCTATGATGAAAATTACAGGCCTCTCTCATCTTTTTAAGTGGGAGAACTTGCACAATTGGTGGCTGACTAAATACTTTTGGTGACCAAATACTTCTTTTCCACCATGATTTGCAAATAAATTCTTTAAAAATCAGACAATGTGATTTTCTGGATTTTTTCCCCCATTTTGTCTCTCATAGTTGAGGTATACCTATGATGAAAATTACAGGCCTCTCTCATCTTTTTAAGTGGGAGAACTTGCACAATTGGTGGCTGACTAAATACTTTTGGTGACCAAATACTTCTTTTCCACCATGATTTGCAAATAAATTCTTTAAAAATCAGACAATGTGATTTTCTGGATTTTTTCCCCCATTTTGTCTCTCATAGTTGAGGTATACCTATGATGAAAATTACAGGCCTCTCTCATCTTTTTAAGTGGGAGAACTTGCACAATTGGTGGCTGACTAAATACTTTTGGTGACCAAATACTTCTTTTCCACCATGATTTGCAAATAAATTCTTTAAAAATCAGACAATGTGATTTTCTGGATTTTTTCCCCCATTTTGTCTCTCATAGTTGAGGTATACCTATGATGAAAATTACAGGCCTCTCTCATCTTTTTAAGTGGGAGAACTTGCACAATTGGTGGCTGACTAAATACTTTTGGTGACCAAATACTTCTTTTCCACCATGATTTGCAAATAAATTCTTTAAAAATCAGACAATGTGATTTTCTGGATTTTTTCCCCCATTTTGTCTCTCATAGTTGAGGTATACCTATGATGAAAATTACAGGCCTCTCTCATCTTTTTAAGTGGGAGAACTTGCACAATTGGTGGCTGACTAAATACTTTTGGTGACCAAATACTTCTTTTCCACCATGATTTGCAAATAAATTCTTTAAAAATCAGACAATGTGATTTTCTGGATTTTTTCCCCCATTTTGTCTCTCATAGTTGAGGTATACCTATGATGAAAATTACAGGCCTCTCTCATCTTTTTAAGTGGGAGAACTTGCACAATTGGTGGCTGACTAAATACTTTTTTGCCCCACTGTATGTGTGCATTGCTTAGTTCTCCAAGTGTATTCTGCATTCCTAATAAGATATTTCATCCCTTTTTGTTGGGTAGCGAGCCAGATATGCCTTTCTGTCCTTTCTTAGTATTTCTAATGTTGGTGTCGGGTTGTAAGTAGATGAATTTTATGATGTGATGTCAACTGGTACTTTACCATTTGAGGTGACTGAACATACTGCTCGGAATAGGTGATGAAATGACCTTTATTTATCTGTAGGTCCATCCAAAGAAAGGGAGCTTCTTAGTTTTAAAAGCAAAGGAACTTGGCTTGCCTATGTAAGTATGGGGTTCGAGTGCATGTTTATATGTGGAATGCCATCAATCTTCAGAGACTGGCTAACTTTTTTCTTCTTTTTTTTTTAGTGGCAATGCAGCGATTGCGCCTATAATAACAGCTGTGAAGAACGGAGAGAATATAATGTTTGAAGGGAGAGAGGTAGAACTTTCTGAATGATCCTTTCATTTAGAACCATTTCTGTGTGAAATTAGCTGGGCATCCCTGTCTTATGAATGTAACCATGGTTTAGTTTTTTAGTTTTTTATTGTGGGCAGAGAGAGTACAACCTAAAATGCTTGTTCATCCTTTGCTTCAATCAATGGGAATATTTAAATGGATTAAGACCCGTAACTTGATTTGTTTGCATAATTTGAAAAAGCACATGAAATTCCTCACTTATTCAAAGGGAAACTTTAAACTGGACCTGCTCGTCATTGTGGGTTGAGGGGACCAGCTTTCTGAGCTCAAGACCTCATATAAATTGGTGGAACAGTTAGAAAAAAAATCCTTCCTGCCCTGTGACCCCAGCATCTTGAGAGGCAGCCTTCCGTTGGCCAATATGGGAAGTGTTTCCCAGTGATGTGCCTTGAAATGGGGACTGTGATAGATTTTAATAAAATGTGTATTGGTGGTGTGTGTTGACCTGTGTGCCTTATTACAGATCTTGGCTGAAGAGCTTTGTACACCTGCAGAGCCAAGTATAGTGTTCATCGTATTGGAGTGCCCTCATGAAGGTTTTATAGATGCAGTCTGTGAAAACAGTACACTGCTAAGGTATGATTAAGGAAAAGCTCAACGATCATCATATTCAGGAATCACTGGACATGGGCCCTCTTGCCATGTCTTTATTTATTGCCATGTCTTTTGGAAATATGAGTTTGTTTTTATACTCATTGATCCATGTCAACAACCCATTTACACTAGGTCAATAATATGTGTCAAAGTATTAGTAACCAAGACAATTATAAGTATTGCAGGGAAGCTATAGGATTGGTTCCTTCAGTGTGGGTACAAATAGTATGAAATCCAGTAGAGAGTATTTAAAAAGTTAGTGCAGACATACTCATGGTGGAAATATGAGCTTGTACTTTTGCAGCCACAAAACTATCTATGTTGATCATAGTATCAGTACAGGTAGTCCCCAGTTTAAGAAGGGGTTCTGTTCCCAATATTATACAATATTATTGTATAATACTGTATAAACAGTATTGTGTATTTAACTCGAATCATTGTGTATTTAACTCACATTTTGCTACAATAGGCTCCGTTCTTAACCATGAGTCATCTTTAAGCCAGGCGTTCTTAACCTGGGGATTACCTGTACTTTAAAGCCAGCACTGCATTCTTGATCTGTAGCTCCAATGATGAACTCTCCTCTATCAAAATTATACTGGCATGATGGGACATAAGGCTGCAGTCACTTGCAGAATTCTGGTCACCAGTGGAATCTATATGCTCAGAACTTAGCTGATGGATGAAGAAGGATCCCATGGACATTGAGATAGTAACTATCCTGATATGTGCTTACAGTATATCTTAGAAACTGCCATCTTCCTGAGAATTTCTGCTTTTATATCAAATGTTTTGTTGCAGGTATCAAGAAGAGAAGCAGGAGCATTCTGTGGCTTTAGTTGTTCATATCACTCCAGAATCTGTTCTGCAGGATAATCGGTATAAGCAATGGTTAGAAAGGTTTGTGTCTAACACTATCCATAGTTTCAGTTGCTGTGTAGATTATCTATCATAAATGGGATTGGGTTAGAGACTTACTGAATTTCACTAGCAGTAATTGATTTCCTGTTGCTTTACATTGACATAATGCTGGTGTTTAACTCACGCTAGCCAATCATTTGCCGTTAGAATGATAATAATTAGCATTGTTTAATGCATGGCACTTACACAATTTTTGAACTGCTTCCCATGCATTCACATAAATGCTTAACCTATAAAGTAGGACAGTATTACAAATACGGAATAAGTCCTGAAAGAGTTAAGTTGCCTTGAGAATCTATGTCTGTAAAATAAGGAGCTTCTGACTTTTTCACTGTCATGACAATACATGAGCATTTGGGTTTCTTTGTTTTAATATATTTCACACACAAATCTGTGATCCAGTGAATTAGCCATGATAAAAGCTTCCATGTGCCTCTCAGATGAGAACATTTCATGCTCCTTCTCAGTTGCTCTTTTTACTAATACTGTTCTATTGATGTCAATAAAACACCTTGTGTTCTATTTTTAAGAACTCCCTTGTCTGGGAGATTGACATACAAGGAAAGGAAATCCAGTCTTCATGTTATAAGTGATAGGCATATTGCATTTGTATACATAGGTCCATGTGAAAAATGCATATGAGAGATTCTAGCAGGGGAGTTCAGGTGGTGTAAATCTTTGACCATCAGTGGGATGACACATCACAGCCAGACTGCCCTCATACATAACTAAACTCTGATTGTATTAAGGCTATCATGAGAAGCACCTGGAAGCAGAAAAAGGAGGAGCCCAGGCCTTACAGTGTAAATAGTTTGTATTTTGCTTGTACGGTACAGACAACAATGGTGAAACCCAAACTAGAATATAATTCTAATTCAGCAATTTCCTACCCTATTTAGAACATCAAGTTTTAAAATACACCTGATTTTTCTTACCCCACTAGCTTTGGTGAAAATACTCAACACTTGATACTCAACGAAAATTGCAAGTCAATACATCATCTTCACAGCTACAGAATTCAAAGTCAGCTAAATTACATACATCCAAAGATCTTTCCATTGCTTAAAAACCACCCAGGCAAGGTAAAATCATAATAATAATAGTAAATGTTGGCTGGTGTGGGTCTTCCGGGCTGTGTGGCCGTGTTCTTGAATAGTAAATGTTGTTTATATAACTGCTAAAAGGATACATACTCTGTCTCAGCCAGTTTGGTAGCATGCTCTTATGTTTTTCTGTCTACCCATCAGGAAGAAGAGGCTGTGTTCAGTGTGCCTGTGACACAAGGAGAATGCCTCCTCAAATACCAGCTGAGACCCAAAAGGGAATGGCAGAAGTTGGTAGCCACTTCAGTTTGCCTTCACATTATGAGTTCAGTCTTGTCCAAAGACCTGCCTCCTTGACACTGAGCATAGCATTTCTGTAGCTTTTTCTCTTTCTACCCTTTTCCTCATGAACTGGATATTATTTTAATATTAAAAAAAATGAAATATCTTTTGACGAAACAGCAATATATTTTAATCTCCATTTTCTGCCTCACATCCTTGGAGGATATGCCAGAGTAGTACTTGTTTTAACTTGTGCTTTATTCAATAAAATAAAATGCGTAAGCTTACATAAAGTATTTCAAAGCAAAATGTTTGAACTTCAGATGCCCCCTTTTGAATGAGAAGTGCCCCATTTTGAGCATTAAACAGCTGATTTTAGGGTGAAATGGGCTGCTTTGAGCATTTTGAAAATGCTTTAAATGGAAAACAGAGCAGAATGGTCTTTCAGAATGCTCAAAACAGTCCATTTTATGCTCAGCCCAGGGCATTTCATGTTCAATGTGGGGGGTTTTGGACACTTATGTCATTTGTAATAATGATATAATGGTGCAAAAATGCATGTATCAAATTTATCTTAACATTACATGAGTGGCAAATGTATATTCTACATTAGAAACATAGCCACCCAGAATTGTTGACAGTTGGGCAGCATACAAGTGTAATAAGTTGTTGTTGTTGTTGTTATTATTATTATTATTATTATACAGTTCATATATTTTACAAAAGAAAATATCCTCAGAAATTTATCGCATGAAAAACAATTGCAAAAAATTTGACCAGATTACTTAAAAGTCCTCTTTCTTGCTTCTCCATCAAAAAGAAAAATCAGATACTGATAATCATGTTGTAATGTTGCTTATTAAGTCTGATATTATAAGGGATAAAAAGAGAAGAGAAAGCCATGGACTACATTTAGATGGAAGTCACCAAGCATCTTTTCTGCTCTTAGTAGTACTTGTTAACTTAGTTGCTGGGTTGCTTTGTAATGGGAGTGGGGAACAGTGGTTTCTGAGTCTAGAAAGCTACACCGAGTTTGGACGTATGAGCAAGTGAGCAAATAATTTAAAAACATAACTACATTTCAAATAGTTGTTCACTGTTACAGCATCTTGAATTAAATATTTACATTGGGGCAGGGAATTTTTTTGTAGCTGGGAACTGTGGCCCTTGTTTAAAGATCACATTATTTGAATTGGATGGCCATATAAATGCAACAAACAAACAAACAAATAAATATTGCTTTTATATTGGCTATCCTGCTTCGTAAGACATCGCTGACCAAATGTACC